TTTTTGTTCTTCAAAAACAAACTATAGCTACTAACCTTTTTCCCTCACAAAATAAAAATGACTAATTATTATTTATTTATTTTATTAAGTATTAATTTAATAGTTTTATATGATATCTAATGAAGTTATAATAATGGTTTAATTTATTTTCTCACAATATAAAGTACTTATTATTATTTATTTATATTATTAAGTATTTATTTATTAGTTTTATAATATATTTAATACAATTATAATAATAATTAAACTAATTTTTTCACGATATAAAGTACTTATTATTATTTATTTATTTATTTTATTAAGTATTTATTTATTAGTTTTATATTATATCTAATAAAATTATAATAATAATAAACTTATTTTTCTCACAATATAAAGTACTTATTATTAATTATTTATATTATTAAGTATTTATTCATTAGTTATTTATTTAACTGCATATGGTGCTCAGGGATAGGTTTAAAATAATTTCAATATTAATAAAGAATTTACATTTAAATGAGCTCTTTTATTAATATTATGGCATATTATTATTATCGTACGCTAACATTTTCGTAGTTTTTGCATGCAGAATTATTATTTTACAGAATAGAATAAATTGGTAACACTTTACAATAAGGTTGTAGTAGTAAAAGCTGGTTTATACTTCTGCATCGAGTGATCGTCGTGTGCGTAGCCATACTTCAGCATGCTGTTTGTGTTGCTCTGCAATAACACTGCCGAAACACTAGCTGGCAGTAGGTTTTGATGTTCCTCTGTTGAGTTTCTTCGCAGGTAATTTGTTTTTTCTGAACGCTACCTTAATGTACAAGTAGCTAAACTCGCTCATTCAGAGGCAGGAACCGGCGGACGTGCAACAACTTCAATCATAAGGTAAACACAAAACAAAAGTTTCCACCTACACAAAAAGGAGTTTCACACGACTCAACACTTGTAACCACTCGCTCCATCGGGTTCGTGGCTCTCTGCACCACCCACACTTGTAACTGATAACAAGCCGACCAATCACAGAACTTGCGCTACACAACGTTTTGGCTCGTAATTGAATTTTTTGAGATGTGCGCGTCAGCGTCAGCCATAGCGAGTGATATGTGTCCGCGTGCAGACTGCCTCGGGCCATACATGTGCGCTTGACGCAGAAGTATAAGTCAGCCTTTAATGTTAGATAATGCGTTTACAAACATGAACAAACAATGAGCGTTATTTATTACAGTATTTGTTCATGTTAGTTAATCAAAATGCAGTTGCTCATTATTAGTTCATGTTAGCTTGACTAATTGACTAATGTTAACAAGCATGAATTTGGATGTTAATAATAATGCATTAGTAAATGTTGAACTATGATTAATAAACGCTGCGCAATTGTTCTTCATAATTAGTTTAGGTTAATAATTACATTAACTAATCAAATCTTACTGCAAAGCGTGAGCATTTTAATCTGAATTGAGTTTATAATATAAACGGCAAGAAATAAACTCAGTTCTGTGAAGAAATAAACTTTAAATTGAGTACAAACTGTCTAAACTTACATTTTCATATTTGTTAAACTTTTAAAATGGCCTGCAGGCACCTTTTCAACACATTCTACCTGAATAACTTGAACAGTTTGCTGTTTATTCTATTTAAGGTGCAAAAACGATCACTGAAATGTTTGTGTTATTAGCATTTAGAGAAGTCAGATATGATGAGAAGAAAACCCAAAGTCATTGCTCAGGTGCTTTTACCTGTGGGATCTGGTTTTGGGACGAATCCTGAGCTGCTTTCGTCCACTTCCAGCTTACCTGCAGCCTGAAAAACACAAGAAACTCCTCAAAATCTACAATGATCTGAGTTTGATGCATGCACACAGCAGCACAAGCTCTCGTTCACACTTTTAAAACATGAATGAAATTAAATACACTTCAATAAAGCATGCACAAATATGCAAATGATTTTACTGATTTCCTTGTGAAACTATACACACACACACACACACACACACACACACACACACACACACACACACACGTCTTTATTTCATGCAGCAACAGCTATTACTTTTTAATACTCAATTATTTTTCATTAAGAAGAATTGGTGTATGAATGATAAACAAGAACTTGGTATATGGTGATAATGAGTGCACTCCTTTATGAAAATGAATATTTATATTAATTTCTCAGTGAAAATAGAGAAGAATATTAGGTGCATTTATACAAAACTGTTATAACCATTAAAACAAGAGTTTGCACACTTAACATATTTAGAAATAGAAAGGTGATGCATGTAAATAAATTATAAACTACAAAATTTCAGCTCAATTTCTCTTGATTTTATTTACATTTTATTTCATATTTTCCTCGTGTATATATACATGTTTGGACTGTGATTTTCAGTTTAGTTGATCAGTTTTGTCTTTGGTACTGGCTAATCTAAAGTATATGCATTCATATAAAACTGTACAGCATCCTGGAGGAAATATTACTGCAAAAGAGAGATGTGTGAGGGGTCAACTCATATAACACTTAAATGATAATATTAAAAATCAGTCCAGCAATTTGATGCTTATAATAACTGGAATTGGCAACATAGCAAAGCACACTATAAAGTCCACATGGAACAGAAACTGTGACTGTTTTTTTTATTTTTTGTTCATATTGTGCAGCAGTTCCTAGAGAAACGAATTATAAAATGAGACAACGGTGGGCGTGGCTTGTTTTTTCTACTAAGAGCTGATTGGATGTCGTGAAGTAGGCGTGTCATTCAGAAAGATGGGGAAAAAGGTTTATGGAGAGTTATTACAGCCTAACAGACTCCTCCTCCTCCTCCACACGTTTCTGTTGGATGTCAAAACTGACAGCTGGAGGGGCGTGGTTAAGTGTGTCAGCCACGCCCAATACTAAGACAGACCAAATCTGAAAATTAAACTGCAGATTTGCAGATTTTAATTAGAGGTTACAAGGGGAAACGGTTTTATTTGTCATTAATGACGTGCACAGATGAGTTGTTCAGCACAAAACTAGCAATGTGAGCGAACAAGTATGGTTAGTTTGGATTTCATGTGGACTTTAAGCTGTAAATCTAGTGTCCTTTACGCATGCAGTACCACATTAGCTGGATGATCGGTGGCCAGGCCGAAGTCTCCGATCTTCACATGATCCTGAGAGTCCAGGAAGATGTTGACAGGCTTCAGGTCTCTGTGGATCATCCCCTGCGAGGACAGACACAGATCATATTTAGGAGGTTTGATTAGGGTTGTGCAACTAAACAAAATTAATTTTTTTAAATTACAAACATAACAAATTATGACAAACAATTATTGCATCATATCCTACCCACTCTCCAGCAGCCTGGTGAAATTCTCCACAAAGCACAATTTAACGTAGAAATCAGAAAAATCGTATTGTAGCATCAAACATGCTTCATTTATTGAAGTTTATTAGAAACAGAGCACCGGAACGGTGCATACACTGCAAAAAATGCTTTTTTCTTGCTTAGCTTTTTTTTTTGTTTCTAATCTAAATATCTAAAATCTCTTATATCAAGAAGCATTTTCTAGAT